AAAAGATTTTTAAAAATCACCAAAAAAAAAAAAAAAAGTAGTGTCAAACTCTTTGAAAAATGTTCAAGTCCTAACTAGTTCTATTTCACCATTATGAAAGTGACAGCCTCCTCTTCCTCATATTGAAAACCTACCCAGCAACTGTACTAAAACAAAGAAATTATGTAATTTTCTTCCCTGACCCCCACATCAATTCCAGTCACCAAAAATTCGAAGTGTAACTATAATATGTAAATCACACACAAAGAAAAAATAGTACAAAAATGAAGGACGGAAGGACTGACTTAGGTCCCGATTGAAGCTGTCTTCGGAACAGCATAGCAGGTGTTTGCTTAAAATGTTACTTCTGCGGAAGACGACAAGGTCAGACCCTCAGCTCCAGCTGTGGTACTGACGTTGCCCCCGGCGATATTGCATCATTCATTCATGCTGTTTGCTGACCTGCCCCGGAGGCATAACACCAGCGAAGCTCTCTAAAACTAAACTAACGAAAAGCAAGTGTCGAGCTCCCAGGGAGGATTCACCAATCCCGGACTGGGGACACTGGCGGTGCAGCGGAGAGGTCCGGGCGGAGGCCGGGCGAGCGGGTGGGCGCTCGGGGCGCGGGTGGCCGTGCCTTACCGTGGCCCGAGGCTGCGACTTCCCCGTGCGGCGCGGAGCTGGAGCGGGCGACCTGGGCCGGCGCCAGAGCCCTCGCCCGGCGCTCGGGCGAGATCTGCAGATACCGGGGGCGCTTTCGGAGCAGCTGTGCATGTGCTTTTCTTTCTGAACTGCAGGCACCGGCCTCAGCTCTGCAGAGCCGGCCGGGAGGAAGGCTTGGCCCCGCCCCGGGGCGGCCCCGCGCGCCCCCTCCTCCTCCTCCTCCCCCGCTGCCCCGCCGGCCCCTCCTGTCGGCAGAGGGGCGGGGCGCCGCGCTCCCCGACCTCCAGAGGCCACGCCCACCGCCGCACCCCCGGGGCGGGGGCGGGGGCGGGGCCACGGAAGCCGGGCACCTCTGCTCATTGATTTTGCAATCGATCAAGTCCCTTGGGTTCCTTTTCTGAAATCCACTTTTGGCGTCACGCTCTTGCAAGAACACAGGTCCTAGGAGAATTTCAAAACCTACACCCAGGGCACGTGCCTCTGCAGCGGACAACGAGGCGCCGCGCCCCAAACCCTGGGCTCAGTCGGGTGGGCGCGCACTTTGCAAACGGCACAAATGTCGAAGGAGTCTGCACCTCTCCTCCTCCTCCTCCACCTCCTTCTCCTCCTCCTTCTCCTCCTCCTTCTCCTCCTTCTCCTTCTTGCTCTGTCCTCCTCCCACTTCTTCTCTCTCCTAGGTGTCACTTGCCTGGCTACTTTTACCTTGACCACAAAGAATACAGACTGTTGTCCCAAGCATTTACCTTTGGCCGCGGCTGGCTGCAGCTAACCGATGCGGTCCCCCCACCCCAAACAGATCAGCTCAGATGCTGACAGCCTGGGCCCCAGGCTCTGTGTAAACTGGTGACCTGATCGATCAACTGATGGACTGATCGGAGAGGATGCAAGGGTCCGGGCCGGCCACTGGGTTACCGCACCCTGCCCTTAGCCTTCAAATCCAGCGAGAGAGGAGCTTGTCCCTTACGAGAGTGCTGGTGCCCTTTGACCGAATGTAACTTTGAAGTTCTACATTCCCGGTATTCATTACCGAGAAAATGGTTGCAGAGCTAGGGCGCACCGAGTTTAATTTCTTCAGGATCTAGAGGAGATGGTTCTGACGAAGGATAGGGAGAATTCCGACGTTTTTCCTTTGGTTTTGGTGCTGAGGATTGGACCCAGGGCCTCGGGCACGCAAGGGAGGCGCTCTACCACCAAGCCACGCCGCCCCAGCCTGGGATTTAGAAATGAAGTAAAAATATTATTCAGCTAGTGGGGCGGGGTGAGAAGTCTGAAATAAATTAGTCAAGTGCCTGCATGTATTGCATAGAAACTTTGAAGGATATAAGTAAAGGATATAAGATTTTTATTAACAGCCAGGCGTAGTGTCTCATGCCTGTAATCCCAGCATTCTGGAGGTTGAGGCAGGAGGATTCCCCATAAGTTCAAGGCCAGCCTGGCAACCTGGACTACATGGACAGTTTAGGGCCAGCTTGAACTACAAAGCGAGCCCCTGTCTCAAAAAAAAAAAAACAAAACAAGCCGGGCGTAGTGGCGCATGCCTGTAATCCCAGCACTTGGGAGGCTGAGGCAGGAGGATTGTTGCGAGTTCGAGGCCAGCCTGAGCTACAAAGTGAGCTCAAGGTTAGCCTGAACTGCATAGTGAGACCCTGTCTCAAAAAAAGACAAAAAACAAACAAAAAACAAAACAACAAAAAAAAAACAATAGGTTTTTGTTACGCACCAAATATTTGTATCTAACTGGTAATTGAGAATTTATTTCAAGTAAGAAAGACACTCACGCATATAATAATATGAATGACTACAAGTAATGTATGCTAGTATTCATATTTCATTTTTTATGATTATTCATGTTTCATAGGTTTCATTCCTAAACAGGTTTCAGAGGAAACCTTGACCAAAACCTCTCAGCTCCTCAGGGTCCTCATCCACATTGCTCTCTCACCTGCACTAATACTTTTGGACAGGAGGTGGCAGTGTAGAAGACACTGCTCATAGAACATTTTTTTTAAAAGTTGGCCAGAGCTGGGAACGGTGGCGCACACCTGTAATCCCAGCACTGGTGAGGCTGAGGCAGGAAGATAGTTCAAGTTCGAGACCAGCCTGAGCTACAAAGTGAGCCCAAGACCAGTTTGAACTGCATAGTGAGACCCTGTCTCAAAAAAAAAAAAAAAAAAGTTAGCCAGAAGACACCAGGGAGTGGTCATACATCATGTAACAATGAGGGAGTGCTCTTGCTAGCCAGGCATAACTGAGTAAACAGATTAAAATATATTCAATTGTTGATCTGAATGGAATAATGTTAAATAGAGCACACCAACCAAATACAAGCAGAACAATGAGCTCACTTTGTACCCCAGGCTGGTCTCGAACTCACAATGATCTTCCTGCCTCAGCCTCCCAAGTGCTGCGATTACAGGCATGTGCCACCATGTCCAGCAAAAAGAAAAAGAAATGTTTTTAAATAGACAAGCTGAT